ATTTGGGAATTTGAGAGTTTGGAGATTTAGGGATTTGGCAATTTGAGAATTTGGGGGTTTAGGAATTTGAGGATTTGAGAATTTGGGAATATAGGTATTCAACAGTTTAGGAATTTAGGAACTTGAGAATTTGGGGATTTAGGAATTTGGGAATTTGAGAGTTTGAGGACTTAGGAATTTGAGGATTTGAGAATTTGGGGATATATTAGTATTTGGCAGTTTAGGAATGTGAAAACTGGCGAGTTTCAGATTTTAGGAATTTGGGAATTTTAGAATTTGGAGTTTGAGAATTTGGGAATGTAAGTATTTGAAAATTTGGTTGCTTGGGAGTTAAGGTATATGGAAATTTGAGAGTTTAGGAGTTTTAAGTATTTAGAAATGTAAAAATTTATGGATTTAGATATGTTCAGATATGTTCAGCATTATATTTTTTAAAGAAACGTCATACAGCAGAATTTTCTAATGGCATTATCTCACACTAGAGTCATTATTCAACGCGATAAGCTAGAATTTTTAAATTTTTCGCAATATAGTAAACAGGTATCCAATTTTTACAATGAATCTGAGATTCCCATTATAAATAACTCTTATCTATATCTCCTATCGTACAACATTTTTTAACAACTCGACAATAGATTAAATACCTCTTCAATCTAATAAAAATGAATATTTTCAGTAAATCACAAGACTCGCTATAAAGTACTTTGACATTTTGAAATAAGAAGAATAAAACAGTGAAATTAGATGAAATCCTTAATTTTCCAGAAGCAAATGGATTTTTGAGTCGAACCATAATGTACCATGACGAAATGGTTCTTAGGTGAAGAAATCCAGAATTACTGCAATTTTGATGTTACCTAAAGTTCGATGAAAAAACTGACAGAACGTCGTTACGTAAAGCAAGTGAAAATATCAGTTGCGATAGAAAAAAAACTAAACCCCGTATTCTGCAAGTTAGATTTAACCAGATTTCTTTGTATACTTCATGCATAGAGTTCACGAGTATAAAAAAAAAAATTGATAAGATGTAGGAATTCAATTACCGAATAATTACCTAGCGTGCAGCCAAACGGTATAATTGCTCTTATTAACACGCTATGGGAGATGACTAAGCCTTAATAGTGCAATCTTTATCGAACTGCTTCCCTTTGACTTTTTATTTTCCTCAAATTGCTTGAGGTTTTTCATTTTCTTCAAATTTTCTTATTTTGAAATTTCCCCAATTTCCAAATTTTCTAGTTCTGAAATTTCCCAGTTTCCACATTTCCCAATTTCCCAATTCCAAATTTCACAGTTTCCACATTTCCCAATTTCCACATTCCTCAATTCCAAATTTCCCAGTTTTCACATTTCCCAATTTCCACATTCCCCAATTTCTAAATTTCCCAGTTTCCACATTCCCCAATTCCAAATTTTCCAGTTTCCACATTTCCCAATTTCCACACTCCCCAATTCCAAATTTCCCAGTTTCCACATTTCCCAATTTCCACATTCCCCAATTCCAAATTTTCCAGTTTCCACATTCCCCAGTTTCCACATTTCCCAATTTCCACATTCCCCAATTTCCAAATTTCCCAGTTTCCACATTTCCCAATTCCAAATCCCCCAATTTCCAAATTCCCCAATTCCCAAATCTCCCAATTCCCAAATCCCCCAATTCCCAAATCTCCCAATTTCCAAATTCCCCAATTCCCAAATTTCAAATTTCTAAATTTCCTAATCCCCAAATCTCTAAATTACTAGCATCCGCAAATGACCAAATTACCAAATTTTCAATTTCCCAAATATCCAAATCTTAAAATCCTCACAACAAATTCCCATTTGTCTCCAAATCAAAATTCATGGTCGCCAATAATCTTAGTATGTCACAAAGGTTAATGGTCTGAGTAATTCGGCCCATACATGTTAATCATCGACTTTTTATTCCAAAGATATACGCAACATATATTTTAACTTGTGAAACAATTTTGATAATGAAGTAACTGCACTTTTTGTTACAATGACTGATATATTCCAAATTTCTAGTGATAATATTATGAAATGTAATATTCGCGAAATTGCGCTAACGGAAGTGGAGTTGCATAAAATTAAAATGAATGAGTCACGTGAATGCAAACTACTTGGAAGGAAACAAAGAAACGATTTGTTACTAATAAGAAATCGAGCCTTGGCTTCGAACAGAGACCAACCGTAAAGAATATTCAACTATTTTTTGTTTCACGTAGGCAAAATTTCTTTTCGTAGAAAGCTTAAAGTGACAATATTGTATAAAATGAAAATATGAAAAATGTATACAATTTTTAATGGTTTGAAGCTGATGTAAAAGAGCTACATGATTGGGAATTATAACATGTGTAATTAAGGGTGAATTACAATGAATGATTTTTCGATATCAAAAGCTCGATGATTGAATTAATTTAATTAAATATTAATTTATTGTTAACATTCGTTATTGAAAGTCGTATCAGAACGGAATCATCGCTAGTGTTTGTGAGGCCCGGGACAAAAATTGACATTCGAAGCTGCATTAAATCAGTGATAGACATCAACGAGTACAATAAATTCTCGTTATATTGCTTACGGACGGGGCTGAAGCTGTTGGTAATGTAGAACGTGACTTTGGCATGTAGTGATTCAAAGTTTACAAATTTGGCAATTTAAAAATCCCTGTTTTCAGAATTTGAAAATTTCTAAACTTATAATCTTGAAAATATTACCATCTTTATTTCACAAATTCACCCAGTTCTTGTCTCAAAGCACTCGAATTATTTAGAAGAGTTCATCAAAAAGTTAAAATAAAAATTTCATCCTACATCGAGTATCAAATTTATTGATATTGGATTTGATTGATTTATATATGGAAAGATCTATAAATATCGACAGTTATTTTTGATCGATTTGATTATACTGACAAGATTATGTCATCTGGAATATAGTGTTACGTATAGCATTCACATGAGCGCTTATTTATAGACAGTTCTCTCCACGTACCTGTAATCCAAATATTTGGATCTAGATTTCATTTTCTGTGAGGCAATTGTAAACACACTACTTTTTACAGCCGTTACAGTACAATAAAAATTAACGAGATCAGTGCACTTCACATACATACAGTTTCAAGTTGTTCATAAAATAGTCGATACCAACTTTGATATTTTCTAATCTAGGAATAAAGATATCTTCAAGTTTCCCACTTTGGGAATTTAGAAATTTCTCAACTTCAGGAAAATTAATTTTCAAATTAGTTTAGAAATTTTCAAGTTTTGAAATTGGGAGCTCGCTAGCTTGACCGCACGCTATATTACCACACATCGTATCGCTAAGTGACTAAGTACATGTAACAAGAACCACCCTAATCAGAAGTTCGATAATTATCGTTAAGAAGAATAGAAAGTAAATAGAGTGATCCTGTTTCGCAAGTTTCTTTATTAACGCCATTGCAGCTTCATCTGAGCCAGGTACAGTTCCGAGCTCGACACCAAAAGCGAGCCCGCACACAATAAATGTGCAGCTCTTATACATCGTACATACGTACACATCCTGAATTTCACCGTTCGTTACTTAACATAGGAATTTACAGAAATCACGCAAGCCCGAATGACAGCGACTTTTATTCAATGTGCTCGATTGCAGAAGATTGTTGCTATTGTTGTTGCTCTAGATTTGTCGGGTCGCTATATATCGGCCTAAAAACGCACGATGCGAAACCATTCTTGCTAGAGATCGTACAAAGTGTACAAGAAGTCGTACCTCATCTTTGGTAAATATTAATGGGAAGAGATTGTTGGCGGTAAAAATAAAGTTCACAGTGATCGACGATTGAACGTACTTCGTGTTTGTATGTGCCATGATCAGAATCTTTTCTACTTCGTCGACGGAAACATAAGTTAAAAATCTACGCAACGAGCTATAAACATCTTACGGTTATGTACATAAGTTCAATGATCTATAACAGTGATGGCCAGATGTAGGGATCCCAAAGTAATCACGAGCACAATCAAAGAAATTCTGAAATTTAGGGGTTGAAGAATTGGGAACTCAAGAATCTTAAGAAATTAAAAATTTGAGAATTCAGAAGTTTTAAAAATGTATGAGCTAATTAACCAGTGCCCGTGAGTACATTACTTGCCTGTTCGCACCCTCACATGTGTCCATCACTGTTCTACAACATGATTCTGGATAAAGCAGATGCGATAAAACCGCACGCCAAAGACATAGCAGAACATATAAAATAATATATTACACTCCGTATATATATATATGTATATATATGTATACACTTAATTTTTGTTACGCGAATCAAATCACTTATATTTGTAAAACATAAATATATTCTCTAAACAAACAATGTACAATAAATTATTCCTAATCACTACCCGACTTGGTTGCACCCTGCAAATGAACATGTACAAAAGTTCGTGTATCACTGACGGTAATCTTGATCTTACTGCAACTAGGTAGCAAATGTCACGGCAGCATCGAAAACTCATTGTCTCGCATCTGCATCGATTAGCACAATGATTGGCGGAAATACAACACTATTTTCTTGAGTGTTGCTCGATCAACTCCAGGACGTATCAACAGTGACAGTACGGGCCCAATATTGGAGACCTTAACTCCGAACAAGAATTGGCGATCTTTGCCTTTCATGCATTGTTTTGTAGAGGAGCGACAGATACAGCAGCCATGTTATCTTATCTGTTGTCCTTGTCTACCCCTGCAGAATAATATAGACGAAGCAAAACTCATCGATCGTTGTCCCAAATTTTTGACTTGTTCTGCCACTCTTGTTGACCCTCAAATAAAAAGCTGTTTCGCGCACGAAATTACGGTACCTAACATCAAAACGAACGTTCTCGTTTTCCGAGACGTTGGACGCGCGAAGACATGCATGATCTTCAATGAAAATTAATACGTTAGCATAGAGTACCTTGAAGAACCGTTTTAGAAGTTTCAAGCTAAAGATTATAAGCATCGAGTTAAGAGATTCTAGTTACGTCTTTTGGTTAAAAAAATTCCCCAATGAGCACCGAGCACCTAACAAATTAGTTACATTTGGCAAAATGTTTTCACCGATCCACAAAGAAATACCAAAAACGATCCGTAAAATGGTTAAAAGTCATTACAACGTTTCCTCCGTCGCTGTTACATGATTTGTAGAATCGTTAGCGTACCGCGCTACAATTTTTATTATACGTATAATTAAATAGATAGAGCATTCGTTTGACCACAGGCTAAGAATTGGTGATTTTATCGGTGCCTCGACAACACTGAATGGAAACCACGCTAAACCTCTGGTTCGCGTGTAGGGAAATTTAAGCTCGGCCATACACCGGGATCAGCGCGTTTCCAAAATGTCTGGGCTAGTCATTCATTGGCGCTGGTAAAGGGCATTGCACCTGCCACACGATCAAATGACTTTGTTCTCCGTGCTCTTCGGCGTTCGCTGACACGGCACTGTTAGAATGTTCCATACTTTCTTCCGTATCTTCGCCATCACCTGAGAAAACAGCAATCAGCTATGCAGCACAAATTTCCTGAACGATGATTCATGATAAGAATAAATAAGAAAGTGCGACTGTCAATCGTTCTTTGTACATTCGGGCACACCATAGGCTTCCTTAAGAGATATCACACCTTGATTTTAACCGAAGGAAGCGTACGTTGCACCCAAGTGTACAATAAAATGCATGTCAGCTGGAAATGCCCGACCCCCAGAGGAACGAAAGAAGCGGAACAATTATATCGTATGTAGTTGAGCTTGAGAAACAAAAGTGCAAAACAGTTCTTGTATTAATAGAAATTATGAAAATAATTTTGTGCTGTACAGAAGCAAATAGTCTCGCATCGAATTTCACGAACGTTCAGCTTGATAATTAATGAATTTAATGAGAAAATTTGACATTTTCGACAGAAAAATTTTGTAATGTCGAGGTTAGAAACGTCTAACTACTTGCGAATTTGTTAGTTCAGAATTTCATTACACCGTGCGCAGAGTATAGTCTCAGTAGTTAGTATAAGTAATTTCATAAACCAATAACATAAACTGATTCACGAAAACGTACAAACAGTTGTATGTAAAAAGACATAAAGACCCATCGACCTCTTTTCATTTCTCTCTGGGGGCATACCTGACCAACTGCCATACAATCAGATGAGTGGCCACGTCACTCTCGTCTTCTGCCTCATCTGCTGGAAGTGTTACAATCAGGTAAAACTAGTTTACAGAGACACACTTGGTCATACTTGATATATATATGTTAGGAAGTTTAATGACACAATATTATCGGTACCATGCTATTAGGGATGTTAAATGTATAAATGATTAATTATCTGCTGCAAAGGAATTCATGAATACAATTACTTACCAACTCTAAAGTCTATATACCCTTCGCCTCCAGATAGAACAAGCATGGCTGGTTGGGAAGAATCGGATACTGCACTTTGGCCACCATGACCTACAATAATCGTTTAAAACAAAATTATTATGTATGTTACAGAAATAGATAAAATGATATGAATATAATGACGTACCAGGCACTGCAACGAACATCTTCACCGCATCTCTATGTCCATGAAAACTAAGTTGAGCATGAGCCATGCTACAGTAAGGTATAAAACTTCCGAGTGTAACACCATGATCTGATGCGAAGATTCTAACACCAACTCCTGGTGCATCACCTTTCCCGCTTGTTGCTTGAACTCTGGACACTGCCATTGAATTTCGAGCACCTGAAATACGCACGTATTTCATTTATGAGCAAACGTTTATTGTGTTAAATAAAATATTTTGTTATCCAATGCTAAATTACCTTCAGCCAGAGGAACTGAAATTATTACTCCGTTTCCTGTTCCAATCCATAACCTATTCGATGAAATGAGTAAGGCGGTAATTCTTACGAAAGAAAAACCAAGTTTCCCAGTCCCGAGCATTTTGCTAACGTAAGGCTCAATATCGACGTCTTGAAGATGTTGATAAGTATGGGCATGGTATAGTCTAAGCGTCGAGTCTAATCTAATACTGACCCACACTCCTTCGCCTAACCAAGCTAATTGCCTCACTTGTGATTCTCGACGTGGATGGGCATCTACGGTACACTGAAAGTTTATTTTACATGTAAAATTTCCTATTAAAAAGAAGTAACTGTAAACAAATATACGTACCTCGACCGTCATTAAAACTGGATCAATAACATGAATTTTATTTCTATATCCGCACCATACAGTTCTACCGCTGACAGCAGTCATGCACCGGATTGAATGTTGTGGACTACCCAAGGTAATTACGTGGTATTGAGATAAATCCCATTGTCCGTCTGCACCTCTTCGAAATAATGCAACAGTCCCATCGGCGAGAGCGACAAGAACTCGTCCTTGTACGTGTCTAAAATAAAAAGCAACGTTTATGTTGCGTATTAAGTTACCGTCCAGTTAATTTACAGCGGAGTCTTGGTATATGGTTTCGAGAATTACAAAGTTATACCATAGCTATACCATATAATGAGACTGCACTGTAAACTTCAATTAGATTACTGTTTAATTAAAAGTACATACACGATCGCCAGTGCAGCATCTTTCAATTTGACCGAATGCAAGCAAACTGACCACTTAGCAACAGCGGAATGAACAAATACCGCACCATTCTGAGCTCCGAGCCACATTGTCGGTTGTATCGAAGACATCTTTTCTATAGGTGTACCTTCTTCAATCGCTTCAGGCTGTTTTTCTTCGGTCGTATCTTCTTTTTCATTCAATCGTAACGGTGGTACATCTACATTAACTTTTACAAAGTGTACTTTCCCTAAATTCATGGTCTCACCATCTACAGTTTCTAAACTTTGTGGCTCGGTAGTAACGTTCTGATTAGTATCGTCCGACTTCTCGGTATTTTCGTTGTTCTGATCCTCTGACATACTGTCGGATTCAGTTTTACTCTTTTCCGATTGAGTTTCTTGCTTATTCTTCTGATTATTCTGATCGACCGTCTCCTCGTGACCCTCATTGTCATTCACCCCGTTAGCAGTTCGGGCCGGCTCTTCATTCACTGCTTGAACATAATCACTTTCTTTGGCTCCAGGTACACTTGCGATGCAAAGTAAATGTCCTTGACAAACGTTAAAGACTTCCAAAATATCGGCTGGATTATTAGCATCTATCACAGTAACTTTCGACATCTTCTGAGTTGAAGTGCAGATCCAAACCAATGAGCTAAGTTGTTGTTCTAATTGTTCCGCTTCTACCCTCTGATTCTCATTTTCCTGAATCTCCTTATCCAAATGCTCGATAGCATCTTCGGCGTCAGCTTTTGAATTGGTACTTACTTCTTGAGCTTCAGCTGCGTAGAACACGCTACCACCAATCATACAACCACCGTCTCTTGTTTTACCACCGCTTAAATTTACACCAGCGCCACACCATATCTGCATAAACAGATACACAGTGAAGTCTTACTATATGATGCATATGAATCATTAATTAAGAACAAATTGAATGTACCTTCATGCCAGGTTCTGACTCCTGTAAAGGCCTGCAGTAGACTGGCACGGGAACGGGTTGTCTAACAGGAGCACTTGGTTTGCCCGGTAAACTCCAACCATAGGCTTGTAATCTGCCATCTTCTTTTCTAACATGCGCCCGAACTTGACGATATTGTTCTCTACGTTCATTTGCTCGTCTGGCAACAAGTTTTTCAGAAGATCTGTAAAAATGTATAAAACGCAAATTATTGCATATTTTAAAAGCATACGCGATGAAACTAGATGTTTGTAATTATAAAAGTTAGTAGATTTACTGAATACTGTTGCCTGTTTAACCGTATATTCCTACGAAGATTTTCTTGACCACTGGACACACTTTGTCTTGAATTCAAACGAAGACTTAATCTGACTGTTCTCTTTCGGTCATATCTAACTGTCGGCTTCGTTATTACTCGCACAACGAATTTTATATCCACGTTTAAAAGCGAAATGTTAGACATACAGCAGAAACAGAATTACCTGCTGGCCAATAAGCACCCCACCGAAAACCAGAAAAACCAGGTATATCTTGACAACGCCATGAAGAAGAGGCAAGGATGAACCCGAACGAAAAATTAAAGCGTAGAGCAAGAGTGAAATAAAAGCCAAGATTATAACATAGTCAAAACGTCATTTATTTGCTGATCAGTAGTGATCATATTTGGTGTTTTTTTCTTCAAAAATGTACAAACGTTCATTTACAAAACTATTGCTTTCCAAGCATGACTTTAAAAGGTAACAGAATAATTTACTTTGTTGAATTAATTCAAACGTGTAAATCATTATCGTAAATAGTAAATTGATTTATATCACAAATATATATGCAACGATTCAGTTCAATACAGTCATTTACAGCTTTATTTATATATATATATAAGAAATTAGAATAAAGATAGATATATTAGTAAAAGAAAAATTGTCAAAAAAGTAATATTTTATTTGTGTGCAATAGACTATGATCTTATTCCAATGACTATCAGCGCATACAATAATGCGCATGAAATGTAAACCTACGATTTTTATTGTTTTAATTGAAAAATTGGCAGATAAGGATTGCAACAATAATTTGTTAAAAACCATCACATTTACAAATCGCTCAGGCAACAAATTATTTAGAATGACTCACATTTTTCTAAGAGCAATCAAGAGTAATTGAGAGTCGCGACAAAAGATTATGGATCCCAATTGACCAAAGAGGCCTCTAATCTGGAAACATGATTGGATTCAGAAATATTACTAAAAAGTTATAACGTATCAAAAATCTGTCCCACCGGGATAAAAAACGTTTTGTTGCCGTTGCAATAGCTTTGGTAAAATATTAAAAGAAGTTCGCGTGTAGAACTCGTGTATCGTGGTTATATCTTTGTAAAAGTTTTCGTTGTGGAAACGATCACAGTACCGTGAGTCCGTTGTTGAAAAAAAAGCATGACAATGAAGAAAAAATCTCTATGCAGAGAATAGAGAAAAATTTTGGCAGGCTTTAGTGTCAAACTGACAATATCTAAGTGCGTATATAGAATTTGATTGATTTCTCACATGGTGTCTCCCTGGTCGAGAAACTCATGGCGACCTTTCAACGTACGTCTACGCATGGTGCCCCAAGATGATGCTGGGACAACTTGATTTGTTGGTGCACTATACCTAATATGAGGTAATGTGTGTGGTCCGCGAACCAAGGCTCCCCGATCCGCGGGTGTAAAAAGACTACTAAAACTAAAAGCAAAAAGAAATAATTATTATTCGACTCAATACTTTAGTTTCATTTTATACAAATGATACTAACAACTTCCACACCGAACCTTTGCCCCCTGATATACTAGCAGGATCAGTTTTGCTGGCCCTTATCAGTTCAGTCCATCTAACAGCTTCTTGAAGTTCCATGAATTGTTCTTTATACTGATTTCTCTCCATAAGCACTCTAGCCATTTCTAGTCTAGTAAATCTTTTTCTTTGTGCTAGTGGTACATCTTCTTCGTCGTCGCTCTTGGCTGCTTTCGCTGCTGCTTCAGCTTCTTCTTTCACTTTCTTCAGTTCATCTTCAAGAGCTTGGATTCTTTGCCGCAGACGTTCTCTAAGTTGTTGTAAACCTCGCACTTCTTCGCGCAATATTTCTTGTTCACTATACAATATATTTACTTATCAATATATTACGCACTATGTATGAAGAACGTATTATTTTGAATTTGGGACAACATACCTTGTCAGTTCATCGACTTTGATAATTAAATCATCTTTAACAATATTAAGCGCATTTCTGAAAAACAGTTAAGTACGTTACACAGATATCATTGCAAGTGCAAAAGTACAATTACGAACTATAAAACACTCACTTCGTGGCCAGAAGCTCATTGTTTTCCATAATGAGATTCTCCACCTCTTTGCCCATTCCTAATAAGACATTAGGAACAGTTATTTTAAGTATATTCGCAAGGTTATACATACAATATATTTAAAATAAAAAAAATATCTTACCGAAGAAGTTGTCATTAACTGCATGGAGTATTATCATATCATGCGATTATACAGGTAGGGCACGATTACAGCCAGCATAGGTAGGGAAGGAAACGATAAAACATAAAAATGCATTAGTACATGTTTTATACAATATAATTTGAATTTTAACTTCAATATTAACCCTTAGAGTTCTAATTTCTATATAACTATGTACTATTGCAAAATTGATAATATTAATTACCTAATAGTAATTAATTACCTAATAGTAATTAATATGGTTAATAATTTTGAAGTTCATGCATGCAAAAAATTTATAACATTAATTTTACCAGAGTTAGTCAAGAAAAGTAAGACATGCTGTTTCTAAAATAATAAAAAAAATAGATGTACTTTGAGGCTACTTCGTACAGCAAAATATAAATTCCCTTTTTTTTTTTTATAAAAAACAGTTTGTTAGAACTCAAAGGATTAACAAATAAACAATATTTTATATCAATATGTAATTATTTCATAGAACATACTTGATGATGCATATTCTCCAGGATGAACCCAACTACCTGAAAGTTTATAGATGATGTATGAAAATTTATGCTTTAGTCTCGAACCAAACGTGTGATAAAGAATTACCAGTAATGTCCGCTCCTTCGTCCATTTCACTCAATGCATCAGCATCTTGAAAACTAAGTTCCTGATATAGTGTATTACCACTTCGTTGTTCTCTTTCCGTTCTACTCCTCCCACCTGGAGTAGTAGCTAATTTTTCTACAGTTGGTGATGTTGGTGTAGCCAACAATGGAGGTGCTTCGGTTTCGGGACTTTCGTCTATGATCGAATATTCCATATTATATCAATATTATACATTGCCTAACAGTATTGAAATTCAATAATTCGAACACGTACGTCTAGAGATTGCCGTTGTTTTATTTGCTTTTACTGGTTTATCCGTTAATTGACTCTTATCGGATGTTTCAACTGTAGCTTCGCTACTATTATCCAACATCTCTGTTTTTAAGTTAGCAGCATTTGGTGGGCTTTCTTCTTGGAAATCTTCCGCGTTTATACTAGCTTCTAAGCTCTGAAAACCATAACTCAATGGCCCAGAACTTCGAGACATGTGAGCTAGACCAAGGGATGGCAAACGAGATGGACCACGACCGCTAGTTGCATTTTCTAATCTTTCTGTACTTCCAACTAACATCTTTGTTCTTTCCATATAATCTACGTGGGTTTTAAACAACTCTGTATACCTCTCATGCAGACGAGTATATTCGCGTTTCATTTCTGCTTCTTTCTCTTCAAGACGAACAACTAAACAAATACAAAAATTGACATTCCATATCTGACATTATAATTATAATGCCTAACTATGACTAAATATATTTTAAACTTAAATAGTGAAATATATACATAATACAAAAGTATGTCATTCACCTTATTGTACCCTATGATAAATATATAGCAAAATAAATTTTTGTGAAAGTGCATGCAAAACATTTAAACCCATAATATAATTTAATTAATCAATTGTATATAAATAATATCATAAATATAAGCAAACATAAAACAAAAAAACTTTCTACTCTACTGTAACGGGATGTTTTGTGAAGGGATGGTCTGAGAGAACCATTGGCATTTGTACCGTGATCATGTGAATTTTTTGTCTTCAGTTCCAGCATCCTTACTATCGACTCCAAGCTATCAATCTTTGCTAGAAGTTCTTTTCTTTCATCTTCTGCAACATCTTCGAGCTCAAACAATTTCTAATGAAAGAAGGAATGGAAACATTACTTTCTTCAAAACATACTTCCAAATAAAGTGTACAAAGTACACATCATATTTGATTTTACCTGATCAGATGCTTTTCTTAATTGCTTTTCCCTTTCATATTGTGTTACAAGCTGCTCATTATCTTCCCTTAACAATTCTAATTCAACTTCACGATCTTGATTTTCGATATAAGATATGTCTAGACATTCTAGAACATTGACTAGGAGAGGCATTAGGTCTTTGACCACATCCTCATCATAACGTGCTATCATCTTTTCAAATTCTTGATAAATACTACCAGCCATAGACTGTACTTTCTCTGACATGACCACATGGCTGTCCTCATGGGTCCCATACACTGTTTCCTGATCCATTTCTACTTGACTCATTTGTAATATCTGTAATATGTAAATTGAAAATATCAATCAATTATTTGTTTGTACCATAGAAATTTTGTCTTCAAAACTTATTCTATATGTTCCCTTCAACAGCACACAGTTTTACATTTTCAAGCACATTTTAGGCATTCTGCCAAGTAAAGAGCTAATATTACAAGGTAAGTATGACACATCAGAAACATTATTACACAACAATAAAGAACAATAAAATTTAATTTTGTCCAAATATAATAGTAGAGTAAAAAAGACAATTTTGGGCAAAATCGGACAAAAGTGTACATTAGTACAGATTTCAACAATTACAAATTCGAACAGATAACATAAAAGTATTAACATAAAATATATATAAACTATCATTACACTCAACTCTCAGCAGTTTGTACTTCAATTTTACTTCGAATGGTATTCGAAGATCGTTTAAAAACAGTTTGAGTAGCAAGCCATCGTTAGATAATATGAATTGCACTCTCTTTACACGGCATAAAATTAATCGTGACTTTATGTCACACTAATTTCCAAACACGATTAAAAGATCCTTGATGAACATTCGTAAAAGATCTAAATGTCAGACGCATAACTACACATAACCTTGCACGATACACGATTCGAGATTAGGATACACTTTTAGAATGATAAGATTAAATCAGGTCATCGCGATTCCACAGCGAACAACTGCTGAATCCCGTGATACATAGTCATTCGCATTATCACTATTTTTACGTGATCGGAGATTCCTTAAGAACGAGATGGAACGTCTTGCCTTAAAGTGGCCCGTTCCGTGTTGTGATTCGTGACGTTTCGCAACCACTGGATCTTATGGTTCTCCGTTTGTTCTTTCGTTTTTATCGCGCAATTAAACACTTGTATAAAACGTTGTACGCAATCACATGAAATGTACCGAGACGGTACTAACTAAAGGGAGCATTTTTCATACATAACGTTCTTTACGTTTGACGTTAGCCAATTTCATTAGTTTCTGTCAACGCTGTCATCCGTGTTGACGATCGTCTTTACACGTAAACCTTCGCCATTTTTTTTTCACTTCCCACCGAGCAATTCCAGAAATGCATGGGCACAGATGAGCTACAAAATAGAACACTCACGCAATGCATTTTTATGTCACAATTCGGAAGCTCTAGAGTTCTCTTACCATTTTTGGTGCAAGTTCTACTGTATCGATTGAGATTAGTACTGCATTACAGCGCTATTAGTAGTAGGAATTGCAATCAAAATTACTAATAGACACAATTTTCGAATCTATTATCCTCTATGACTAAGTAACTTTGATCTGATGGAAACAGGCAAGGCAACTGAACTCTAACCCGACTCTAATCCGACTCTAACTCGATTTGAACCCTCGGTGGAAACTTAGTCATTGAATGATTGTGAAACGAAGAGAGGAAATTTTTGATATGCGACCTCTATAACATATGTGCTTACGTGGACGTAGCGGTAGAGTTCAGTTGTGTATACTCTATGGTGAATTTAAGTGTTTTGTAATTTGTGGTTCAGTAATCTTTTGATGGCAGTAGTTTCGGGCGCGTGGTGCAAACGTCAGTGCAAACATGAGTGGTGCATCACGTAAAATGAAAAATCCATTGTTGTCAGCAGCTGGTGAAGGTTTCCCTTTCGAGAATTATGCAGAAAATGCATTATTGATGCCTGTTACTCCCGCTACACCTGCAGTACTCCACGATGGTGAGTCTGTCAACGAAACACCTGGGTGGGGCATTTGTAGGCTTATGTTTTCGTAATTTCATTGACACGTGACAGGATTTATCAATGACATTGATCATAAAATTAATCGATCTCATGCTTATTTATTTTTATGTCTTTTCAGTTTATATGTATATATTCGAGATCATCATTAGTACCTGATCAACCATCTGTCTATGCATTTTATTTGTTATGTCATCAGTAATGAAGCGAACAAATGTTAGATCATTAATTTTTATTCATCCTTTACTAATTACAAAATTGTAAAATTTTATGGTCTTGTTCACTATATTTTATACTGTTATTTAAGAAATAAATGTGGGTGTTTGATACACATATGTGACTATTTAAGGATTGAACGTGTATTATGTTCCATATTGTGAAATGAAGTAGCATACACGTCAAAAATATTGAGATTTAACCAGATTTACATAATTTCTCTATTGACACTACAATAAGCGAGGTTATAATTTTACAGATGCAGATGTTCAGCTCCAAATTTTATTATGTTCATTTATTACATATAATCTGTCGAGTTGTAACTGTATATTTATTTCATAAAATATATTTATACAAGATAAAGTTAAAAGCATAAATACAATTATACATGATAGTAGAAATGATATTGAAATATTTACATTTTTCAAAAATGTGTGTTGTATGAATAAAACTTAATTGCTATATTAATTTATGTTAATAAAGAATATTGTATAATGCGAATTATATTCTTTCATTAGAATAAAATAAGTTAAAAGTTAGTTCTTTCAGCACTTGCTGGAGGTCTGGAACCATATCGTTGTGTATAAGGCAAATCATGGCTCTTTTTTCTTCGAAAACAATATACTATCAAAAGAATTATCAAAATAATGAATAGTAGAGCTAATAATATTCCCACTGTAATAGCTGCTATCTCTGCTTCTGATAAGTTGTCCCATGCTAAAAGAATAAAATCTTATTTTAAATGTTATAGATAATAATCCATATTGACATTTTGAACTTATTCATATATTTGATTAAAAATGTGTGCCTCATTAGATATAGTGTGTTTTATTTAATTCTAACATGATAGTCCATATGTTAAATCTGGACTTGATATGTCTAAAGACATATATTAACAACTGTGATAATAATAATTATTACCTGTGACATCTACTGTATAAGTGTTAGAATTATCCAGTAGATCTATAGCTATGATTTTCGCAGTTGTGTCACAACACGTAGCAGAATAATAAAACATTACAGGACTCCTTGTACCACTAATAAAATCTGTGCGTGGGTAAATATTCTTTGGAGATGAAATTACTCGTTTGAGACCTGTATCAACGATAAAGAAATAATTCTCTAGAGAACCTGTTGTAATATTAGTGATAAATAAATATTAAAAGTTGTAGTTGAAACCTGATTCATAGTCTTCAATCGTAACATCCATACTCCAATAGGATTTATAACAATGATCCCTGCCTAGTTTTCCAGCACAGTTATTATTGAACGAATATTTGATTTTTGGCTTAACATCATCTGTCAACTGAACATTGTAATATTTAACAATTAAATAAAGAAATTTTTCACTAGTTAAATTTTATTTCATTGTGAAGCTTAATGCGTAACTTAGGTAATTTTAGTTAAATATTTTGTGTAATAAATACTTGTTGGTTTCATGATTAACTGTTCCTTTGATAGGTGTATTTATGATTACCTTTGAAACTGATCCCTGTACATATAGATGTACTGATTTCTCCTTTATTTCTGTACCCAAGATAGATAATGTAACTGTATTAGCTGTATCTGCTGCAACGTTGTTAGGTACAATTAAATCCACTGCCACATTACTCATTTGTCCAGAATAAATCCATGCACTACAAATGTGTATAATATCAATGTAAAACAAAAGCATAAAGAACTATATGATTATTCAATCTTTTTCTTTTACCATTTTTCTATACTTATATCTAAAATAGAATCAGGACTTGTCCTTATTATTGAATCCATTTTACAATATGTAGCAACTTACTAAGCAGGTTGAATATTATACACTTTAAAAGGTGTACTCTTCACTTGAAATGCATATCTGACTGGCAAAACACAATTGTTCATTACATCAAAAACAATTCTGTGTATCGTTCCTGGTTTGACAAGTAAATTGCTGTTTCTGTTCAGTTCAACAAGCATCTTTTTTTCTTCGATAGTATTTTCATTAGCATAATTCAGTAGCTCTTCAGATAATTCTTCATTATCCAAAGTTTCTATTTTTCTCACTGATATATCAATGTTGTCTGCTTTTGGTGATTCATTATTGTCAATGTCAAGATTTTCAATCACACCAATTGAGGATTTTGCATGAATTTCGTCCTGGTCCTATAATGGCAATGTATCTTTTAATGTTTACATATTAACAATCTATTTTGTGCTAGCAAACTATGTCTTAAAATCATATTTTACATAATTATTATAAAATTCTGTCTTATGAATCAGTAGGTATCTAAGAATACATTTTAGAAAATCAACATCCTGCAGCTGCAGGTTGAAATACAATATTCATGTTTAACATTGAAATTGCGTATCTGAGTACTATTTTAAGAAGTTAAGGATTCTGGAACTTAAATTGTGCGACCTTGAGACTTTGAAATTCAGGAGTTTTGGGTTTGGAAATTTTTGAATTCTAGGATTTTAGTGTTTTGGAATAATGGAATAGGGAATATTAATACGGATTTTATTGTCTATTACCTCCATTGAAAACATTTTATCGAGAAATTTTTCACCATTGTCCGTTCTCTTTGGAATAGTACCGTTTTTGTTATCATCCCCGAAAGCAAAATACTCTGCATAATTAATAAATTCGTTATCGGTGCTAGAAGCGATCATTGATGATTCATTATCATTTATCTCTTCCTTTGTTGGTCGTTCACTATGTTTTCGTCGTTTCAACGACCTTTCACGACTTATCTGTCTATCATCCACTAATTTAGAATTGTTTGTTGCGTCCAAATTGCGTTGTTCATCTTTGATCACGTCGAAATCGGTTGTCTAGAAGGATTTATTACGTGCTTGTCGTTGTTAAGTTTCATCGTTGTTTTAAATACATCAAAAAGACATTGTACAGTTCATTTGATTTTACCTTCAACATGTCGGATTTTTCTTCTATATTTAGAGTCGAATCAGGTTTGATTTTAATATCTGGACGATGCGGTGTAATCGTTATTGCGTCAGCATCTGAAAGAATATTATTCATCTGCTAAATTATTTTAACTAGTTTTTCTTTATAATACTAATAATTAATGTTGATGTTATCATTGATATTTTTATTGTACTGATAACTTGTTTTCATTATGCAATATAATGTAGTGGTGATCAGTATTATAAATTCACGTTCCTTTGTAAGGTTTGATACCATGATCTAGAGTACTGTTCTCTTTCTAGTGATGTAGAAGTATGGGGATTTGAAGGTAGAGGGATGTAGAGGTGTAGTGAATTGGAGATGTATGGATTTAGAGGTATGGAGATCTAGGAATATAGGGATGCAGAGACATAGGGATCCAAGGATATGGAGATCTTGGGATATAGGGATCTAGAGATATACAGATCTAGGAACCTCGAGATCTAGGAATCTAGGGATCTGGAGATATAGATATCCATGTATATAGGGATACAGGTATATATGGATGTAGATATTTAGGAGTGCAGAAATTTAGAGACCCAGGAGTGTAGGAATATAGGAATCTTGGATCTAGGAGTGTAGGAATATAGGAATCTTGAATCTAGGAGTGTAGGAATATAGGAATCTTAGATTTAAGAGTATAGGAATATGGGAATCTTGGATCTAGGAGTGTGGGAATATAGGAATCTTGAATCTAGAATGTAGGAATATAGGAATCCCGGATCTAGGAGTGTAGGAATATAAAAATCTTGGATCTAGGAGTGCAGAAAAATAGGAATCTAGACACCTAAGGATCTGAGATATAGAGATTTGAAAATACTGTAATCCAGAGATATAGAAGTTTGATGATACAAGTATCTAAGGATGTAAGGTTCTTAGATATAAATATATGTATAAGGATTTATGAATCTATGTACAGACCTAAGGATGCAAGGATTTAGAGATACATGTACAGTCCTGCATTAATCATTGAAACAATTGGAAGTACTGCTTTTTCCATAAAAAATATGGTACAGAAAGAATCATTTGATGATATAGTTTCTCTGTAATGTCTATATTTATAAAGTATTTAATACGTCATTTCTGTGAGTTTTGCGTAGCACTATTAGTGAGAATAATCCTTGAGGTCATAACATTGAATAATAAAACGTTTCTGTAATAAATGATCATCAATATAAATATAAAAAAACGCGTATTCTTTCCTGTTTGTCACATTGTAGATAATATTTGTTTCTCTATCGAGTGCGTAAATCGTTCAATGGATATAAATATTTTGCTTCGGATTGTTGCCACTGAAAGCTTATCGCCGGGAATTGAAGCAAGTGCATTTTCGTGCTAACGCATACAGATAGAATCGTTTTACTGACTAGAAACGGCGAGATAATTTAGATTGTTTATAAAATATTAACATAGCGTTGCATTGTCCTTTTCTTCATAGGTAGAATTACACAGCGATAAGCTATAAGAATGCATTGCATCCGAGGATTATAACTCACTATAAGTATTCCATTAAGAAATGTCAAGTCTGCGAATGAATTACTCGGAACACTAGAAACTAGCGTGACTTTCGAAACGGTAGTTTGATTAAAAAGTTTGTTGATTATTCTATAGTATGTTGAAACACCCAGTGGAACCGAAAACAGTTTTAACCCTTAGAGTACTAGAGACGTACAGATGTCAACCCACGAGTTGGCGCGTGACCCAAAGTAAAAGCTCCCCACCATGAACACTTCCAGTTACATTTCAGCAAATAAGAATAATAATGACGATAACAACTGCTGAATTCTCACTATCTCTCGAGACGTTTGCCTCTCATTGTTTTTCGCCTAATTGATATGACCACTCGAGCCTATATACCATCGAAAATACGTGTGAGATGTTCATTTTTCTATTCTGGAGCCTCTTCTAAACACCTTGGTCAGTCTCACGCGCCAACTCGTGGGTTGACATCGGTACATCATTCGACAGTTTTGTAACACCAGTTACCGACAGAGAGTGACATTACCGACGATAGTCCGCGGGGACTTCCCCTGAAGGGAGTTCTCCCCAAGCGGGGAGAGCTACTCCGGCTGGGGCAAGGTTTGGACATCTCTGACCTAAAGCTACAACTGTTGTTCTTAATCCAAAGAGCATAAAAATTGGCGAATCTTTATTCTTTTCTGAATCTAGCGTGCGTCAAGCAAACACGCGAGCTGGCGAGCAAAGGGCACGCTCATCGTGTGTTGCACAATATCTGGTGTCTTCGAGCCAGCAAGCAAACGACTGCTCGTACGCTTAGCCAGTTGTCAGATGGACGACGCGGCGTCGGGAACAACTTTCGATCGTTCTGACGACGTTATACAAACGCGTGCAAATTCGACGTCGCTCGTCGACGATTCGTGAATCGAGTGTCCGTTGGCCTTCGGTCATTTTTCTTAAATAATTCGCGTGTTGTTCAATTGATCGCGTCGAGGTAAGCTTTCCATGTGTTCGGGGCTACCGATCGATCCGTTGCGACAAATGAACTAAGATCGTGGCACTTTGTTGTTTTGGTTGAGACAAGTTTTTGTAGACAGTTTTTTTGATCTGTTGAATGTAGTATGCTAATTTACACTCACAGGTACTTTTGCTGCTGGCTGGTAGCAATTATAAAACAGTCTGGTTAGAAAGTTTGATCAACTATTTTGAAGTTATTTCTTCTTTATTGTTAATTGTTATTATTGGCTCGGTACAACTGGTGTCTATAACCATATTTTGTGTATTACATGCATAATACTAGAGATTTAGAAAAATACTTGTTTCAAATTATTGGATTAAATCGAGTTGTTACATCTTTGGAGTAGCAAGTGTTATGGTGATTATTTGTGGAGATAACTAGGCGCTTCAAACTTTTTTGAGTTATTAAATAAAGAAATTTTTAATAATATTACTGTTGGGTTAATAATATATTTCGTCGAAACTCAAGTGATCTTAATTTTATAATTTCATGATTTTCTAAATTTATCTAAAATTTTTATAATTTTATTTAAAGAAAGACAAAACAGTTGTTCGTACATTTAACGTTTTTTAATTTTCTTTTAGTTGGTATTGTTAATGAACTTTAAATGCTCTATGTTTGCATAAAATTATTTAACCACGAGTGCACTTTTGAGGCAATAACCGAGGTCGGAAACAAAGACGAGTATGTTTCCCATGTACACGATATAAATACGATCTGATATAAATACTAAATAAGTTTAGATTCGAAAAGTTTGGTTGCAGAAACTCCCATTTTTTTATTTGTATTTTTAACCTTGGAAAGAGAATAGTTTTCAAAAGGAAAGAAAAGTATAAATAGTGTACATTAGTGATGGGAACGACGCTGAGCGACGAGTTTTCAAAGTTTCAAATTGTTAGATTTCTAAATGGCCAAATTTATAAATTTGAAAATATTGGATTTTAGGAGATATTGCAAATTTAATAATTTAAGTTAAGAAACTTGCAAATTTAATAAATTAAATATTTTCAAATTCGATAATAAAAAAATTGTGTAACTTCGACAATTTGAAAATCTGGAATATCTCAAATCACTAAATTTTCAAACTTCGAAGTATCCGAATTTCTAAATTATTGAATTTCTAAATTTGTACATTTCCAAGTTTCCAATTTTGCGAACATCTTTTCTGAACCCTAAAATTTCAAATATCCTCCCATCTTCGGTATTTCATCACTAACGAACACCAACTAAAACGTATGTTTCTGATGATATCATCGTTACGTCATTCTTACAAAATAACAAATCTAATTCCTTTTGATTTTATCTGTAACAGAAAGACCACAGAACATTTTCCGGTGGATATGTAACGTGTCTTGTTATGCACGTCCGCTTTCACTGCAACCAGCTTAGCCACAGTAGATATAGCCATATCTACTATGACGCACTATAATACAGATTAATTAGTACATGTTATCTGCTTTGCAGATCTGTAATGGCCAACACCTATTTTTGTATAATTAGATAATTAATTAATGGAGAAACCGTAAACTTTAAATGGTATCATTATTGTAGTAACAAATTTAATATCATACCAGAAGTGTTATAAGGTTCGTTATAAAATGTATCTTTGTAGATTAATTTTTTTTTACATTAAATTTTTGTTACATCTAATTGTAGATTAATTTCTTCGATCTCAGAATTGAATTTTAACAATTGAAATAACTTTCAATTTATTTTATGTTAGAAAGGTGACTTTAAGATGGTGTTTGGTCATTCTGTGTTCTTATTTCTCAGGGTAATTTTATTTTAGTATTCACAGCTTTCCTACTGCGATTATTTATTTAATTATAAATAAATAATGAGGTAAAGTAGTAAATTAGTAAATTCTCAACTTATCAGTGATACTTTTATCAGTAATATTAACTATATTTCAAATAAAATTAATAACGTAAAGTAGTAAATTAGTAAATTTTCAGCTTATCACGTTTATCAGTAATATAAACTACAGTTATCGACAGAAACGTTTACTTACCATCCGTTCTTGTTTCCGGGGAGAATAGTACGCCTGCAGGTTTCTCTTCGACGCCTCCAACCCTGACGTGGTATTTCGAGTTATCATCCCCCACGAGTTTCATCCACCACTCGCCAGATGGCGGATTCCGTATTTCGATTGCAACCTCATCCGCATCGTCTTTACGTATCCATGAGATCACTGTTTCACGACCGTGCCTCCTAGCTGTTGTATTAGTTAATTAAAAAACAGGAAATTCCTCCGTTTAATTCCGATTGTTCCAAGATCGAAGCATGCAACAGTCACTCGGTGTCAGAATTGTATTCACAGGAGAACGAATGACATTCGTGACCTCCAGTATAAAATATTTCTTGGTTAGTTTTTTTAGTGACATTTGAAAAGAATTCTTCGTGACTATGTTGGGGTCGATACTCGTGAACGATAGGTTATGTGCGCGATTATTGGTGAACAATGGAAGTATACCTGTTACATTTGTGATTTTTTATTAAATTAACCTTGCCATTTGTGATAAATATCTTGTTAAGAATATTAAGTTTACAATGCTTGTATGAGTATTGTATGATAAAAAGGTAGGTGCAAAATGTTCATTCTATTCAAACTCTAAAATTGCAAACTTGTCATTGAATAACATTGAACTCGCGTTATATTGCCAGAGGTAGTGAACAATTCTTGAAATTAATTTATGACTCGTTTATTATGAAAATGGAGTAATTTCATGATTTTTAAAACTTTGATATAGTTTTTAATCGAATAAAACACTAAAAAATTTAAAGGTATAGGAAATTGATTTTTCTTGCAACATGAAGTTTCTTTCTTTTAATATTATTGATTTCTTTGTTACTTCTTTTAATATTACTGATTTCGTGGTTACTTCTTTTAATATTATTGATGGTTGCTTTAAACTAAAGTCTAACTAGAGTCTAAATATTAATATTAAAGTATAAAATTAAATATTTATAATAAAATAATACTAATATTAATTTAAATATTCATATGTTTTTACACTATGTATATCAGTTTCAACTCTTATTTTATGTAAATTAAGAGTTCTTGTAGAAACATTAATTTATTTTATGTATTAGGAGCCGCGTCTCGAGAAATTATACAACGTTCTAAACATTAGCATAACGAAATTGCGCACACCTGCCTTACAATGAACACATACTTGAAATTGTCTAGTGCTATTAATTCACCAGGCCAACCTACGTACCCCAGTATCGAAAATTATTTTTAGTTTACGTTACAGAGCGTACGTCGCCATGTTGGAAACGCTAGAATCAAAGCACGTGGCTCGAGTTGCAACCTTCATCTTCGCGTTGATTTCTTTATTAATTGTGATTTGTGCAATCAACACTACATCGCGTGAAATTCTTTGGACAGTTTTGTGTTCGCCAGGTTGTGTTTGCAATTAAATTCAAGATATTTGCATCTGTTTTAGAATTGTTCAATTTTTACCTTAGTGGATTCGGAAAAGGATAGAGAATGTTTAGAGTCGTAATTTTTAAATTAATTTCAATTTATTTTGTGAGAAAATTTGGTAATAATAAATTGAATGTACGAATCAATAATTCTTTAATTTCTACAAGTCAGAAAAGTGAAAACTAATTCTTTTGCAGAAAGTGACGAATGTAAAAGAAAAAAATAAAGGTAAATAATTCTTTGGGGGAACACATGTGAAAAATTTAATACATTAAATTTGTAAAAACAAATTTAATTACTAAATTAATTCTGTTATTTTCAACAAATAGAGTCTATGATATATCATTTTCAAGTAGTATTTAGTATTTTCCCTAATAAATAAATGACTCCATATAGGAAAGTTAAAAAAGAAATTTCACAGGAAGAATAATAAATAATTTTATGCAAAATATAGAAAGTAGGAATAATTCGTAAAAAATTGCAAGAATAATAATTAGGAAATTTTAAAACAAAAAAAGATACAAAATTGCAAGTTTAATCTACTTAAAATTTGTAATATTTGAATAATTCACAACATTCATTCAATAATTTTTTTTGCAAAATTTTTACAAACTTTTTTGTAGAAATTTAATTGCAATTGACCCATATCAATCAATTGTTCAAATATTTAATAAAAATTTTGCAGTCTCTCACCTGTCGGTATTCGAAGCACAGCGTTTGAAATATGTCCATCAACATTGATGATAATCCGATTTATTGCGGTATTTACCATAAACTTTATATCTGTGTGTTTATTTAAGTTGTGTCTCTCCACTATTTTTACCTGTCAATAATTGATTTTATTAGTCCTTCATTATAAATTATTTTAAATATCTTTAATTATTATAATAGAATCAGATAAGTGTATAGTTTATTTAATAGCAAATAATGATATAATTTTCCTCCTCAAATTAAATACACCATATTTAACATATTAAGTACACGACAAAAATAATGCTGTTTGTACCTTGAAAGTTAGTAATTATATTAAATTAATAATTATAAGTCAAGTTAATTAGGACTTACATCGTATTGCAAATATACTACATAAAATTATTATTTTCGTCATATTTGAAACATACATGAATTACAAATTTTATAATTTATTATTTTAAAAAATCTGTAATTACAACCCTTCATACATTATCAAAATATTGCAATTTATCTACATAATTTTTCTTTATACAAATTGTTTAAATAAAATGTATTTTTTTATTGTTGCTTTTTTATTATCATTACTACAAGACAAAAATACATTTTTTTGTCGTTAAAAGTTAAACGAAGCACGCAATAAAGAGTGAATATGTAATTTTGTGTGATTAGCGATACTCACAAAGGGTTGCAAATTGTGCTCGTTGAAATTTCCCGACACGTTTTTTGCAAAATTTGTAGCAGTTCCTGTTTTAGTGATGTTGCAATCCAGGTCAAGGTGAATCTAAAAGTATAATAAAGAAAACTGTGAACGCTTTCGGAGTGTTAGTATATTAGATTAAGCTTAACTGTACCTGACATTTTCTGACGCTGTTGTTAGAACTTTGCACGTCATTTGTTTCTGGCATTAATCTTGAGAGACCACTTGATAAAAGATATTCTGAAACAGTTAACGTTTTATAATTAACTGTATGAAATTGTTATAAAATACATATTTTTATTAATTATAAAATTATATTTAACTATAATGTTATGCAGATAATTATAACTAATTATAAACATCAGAATTAAGTACATTTCATAATTAATTTTATAATTGATACTGTTTATAATTAACTATGAATATTATTTGTAAATCTTAAGGATTAATTAAATGTTTTTTCATATATTTATATCTGATTTATATTTGGATAACCTTTTTATTTAATCTGATGATTTCTCATGAAACTTGCATATAATAAAGCTGATGGAATGAAAATAATTTGCAGTTAATCTCGAAAAATAATGTCATATGTGATTTCCATTTCGTATTTTGTAAAAATCTTTTTCAATAATATTTTTTTATTAAATTTGCAGTAATATCAAATATCTTCAGAAACATAAATTATCCAAAAATAATAAATATAAAATAACTAAAAAATTGTTATATAAATAATTGTATGTATCATACACTTGGTATATAAATAAGCATGTTGAAAAAAATGATACATATATTTCATTTGTGTAAAAATAATATGTATAATAGATGATTTAAATAATTTTAATGAAGTCATATATCAAACAGAATTTTAATAAAATTTCAATTAACCAAGTAACAATCGATAAACAATTATTACTAGCAATTAAAAATCAAGGACTAATCTCACTGTTTAACAAATTAATTCTTATCAGTCGTAAAAATTAATTAACCATTTAAATTAAAGATCCTTGTGTATTGAAGTTTAATACTGTCTTTTTGTAAAGATACACTTGAACAATAATAATTTGTTTGTTCTCGAGAAATTATAATTTAGAATTATTATTGGATTATTTCTTTATCTGTTATTGATAACATAATGAGAAATTAGTAGTGTAGACACAACGTAACGGATACTTTATATAAGATTCTACATTCGTCGATGATTAATAGAGATCTTTTTTCTGTTTTTCAAATATTTTTGTCTTATCTTCAAGATTACAGTTCATTGCATTTTTAATATTTCTTACCCGTTATGTCGGCGATATTAGCCATCCAAAACAAATTTATATATTGAAAATCTTCATCGCTCTTGTTGGGGTCATTTCCGATGCAGTACCTTTGTATCAAAATAACATTTTATCTTTACTTTTTTATACGTTTGCTCGGTTTTATAAAACGAATTGAAAAGATTATTTTAATACATTGAATTTCGCAATGAAAATGATTATTCAGCATTTATTTCTACTTTTAAGTTTGAAATTTTCTCAATTTCTAATTTTGTAAATTCACAATTTGAAATTTTGTCAATTTCTAATTTTGTAAATTTTCAATTTGAAATTTTGTCAATTTCTAATTTTATAAATTTTCAATTTGAAATTTTGTCAATTTCTAATTTTGTAAATCTACAATTTGAAATTTTCTTAATTTCCAATTTTGCAAATTTTCAATTCGAAAAGTTTTATGTAATTTGGACATTTAGAAAGTAGGAATCGATAGGTGTAGAATTAATTCAGTAGTAGAATAGTGGGATAGCGGCATTGTATTTTATAATAACAGAACAGCAGAATAATACAATAATAGTGTAATATAGTGTAATACTTCATCCAGTCACTATACTAACTACCCAACTATCCCACTAACCCAATACTTCACCTAGAACATTCATCCGCAGAAAACAGCACAGTTCCTTCAGCCTCCCTATTTCTCGATTTCTCAAAAAATCCATCATTAGCCCACCCTCCCATCGAAGCATCGTAAGGTAATTCTCTCCGAAATCCCCAATCCGACTTCTCTTCTCTCACATTTTCTTCCAAAAGCTTCCTGCTGACAGGATTCACCGATGTGACGAATATCGCGGTACACTGCACGCAAACTACACCATAACAGATCACCGAATAGAAAAAGACTCGCGAACACATGACGAGTGTTTCGAGAAGAATGTTGACGGGATACTGGCAATAAAAATCGGGTTATGTTACTTTATAAGGTTCCGGGCGTAAACGTTTACAGAAGGGTAAATGTGTCCGTTCTTTGATAACACGACAGACAAAGTAAATCTAGGTGTAAACGTAGTTTGTTGCACAATCGCAGGTGTTTGACGTGTACAGGATGTGATGGAGTATATAGAAATCGAAGTAATTCGAGGTCTGACAGGATGCCTGAACGATCGACGCTGGAAAGAAGAGACGCCAGCTTTATCTTTGTCACTTCGACTTATGTTCATTGTATCCTGTTCAATATTGACCGTTTCTGAATAATCCGGCTGACGTCTTCACGGTTATTAGGAACTATGGGGCCTTTAACGCCTTTTAAAGTCGATTCATGACTGTGATGCAACTTACATGGTGCTCTAAAAAATTTTTTTTCTTGGTAGTATGCGGGGGTTTTAGTTTTGAGTATTGTTAGGGTATTCGGTTGTTTGTACTTTTGGGGCAAGGTTTATGTGACTAAATGGATTTTTGTGAGTAGTACTACTTGGGGTAGTATGTTAGTATTGTGTTGGTTGAGGGAAGGTTCCTTTTGTGTATTTAGGGATTTTTGAATTTGGGAAGGAAAGGTGGGAATTTGATATAATAAATAAAGACAATAATGATAATTTCTATTGTTGACTAGTTGTATTAAAAATAAAATTACTAATTGTAAGAATTGTTTATGACCATACATTGCCACTCAAAGTGAGAATGTTTGGGTATAACTTTTTCTGTTACTATAAATATTTTGCTATAAATAAATAATAAAATATACATTATATACGTTAATATAAATAATAAAATATTTTTCAATGTTTGACATTTGTTGTCATTATTCGCTCGTTCTTTACCTATATAAGCTACACCAAATGCAGCAATAAATAATAATAACAATTTTTGTTATCAGATGCTGAATTGGACAGCTTCGTAGGTCAAGAAACACCAGTCAATTCTCACAATTCAACAACGTCACCCGATGCAGACAGCGAATTCACGCCTATCCCCTTAAATTCCGATGAAAACAAGAATACCGTGAATCAACCAGTGAAGCAAGGATATCTTACTTCTATCCTGTCCTCTTTACCAAATTTATCACTGTCGTCAATTACGGGCGACTCGTCAGGATCTCAGACGAACAGGACGCAGGAACACTCGAGCAGCGTTCAAAGTACGAACTCCTATGTGCCTTCGCACGAACGTCGTGATTCATTGAGAGATACGTCACCGCCAATTATTGCTAATTTCCACGATTCCCGACGAACCAATTTCGCAGGATCTGTGGAGAATAGTGCAGGAAGTTTGTCAGCTCCTCCACAACCAACTCTGCCACCTACCGTCCCGTCGTCCACCAACGGTAAGTTTACACGCTTTTGTGATGTAATGCGTACACACTTGTGTTTTTACGAAATTCGGAATTTATGTGTGTTGTTCATATTAAAATTTTGTTGAGCTTAATAACTATTTATTATTATTAATTAGCAATAATTATTTCTATTTTCTTTCGGTGGGTATTTTCCTTCTCTTTTTTTAATTAAACTCATGGTATGTTTGGGTGTGGTGTTCATTAGAAAAGGTAGAGTCAGAAATATTGCACTGTGTAATTAGTGAAGGAGAGTTAATGTTACTACAAATGGAATTTTGAGATTTTTCAATATTTTAATTTGGAGACTTTTAAGAAGTTTTAACAATAAATCAACACAAACTTCGATGAAAGCATCTTAAGAAATTTGTAATTTAAAATAAAATTCTTGTGAATCGTTCAATCAATTTGTTATTGTAGTGTTATCGTTAAAAGGATTGAGATAAGAATGAAAAATTTTCAAATTTTGTTGATTTTGATCAATCAACGCAAACTCGTAAAAATGTCTAAGTAATGAATAAGTTTGATAAATATTAATTCTGTGTAGCCTATTTATATATTTGCTTATTTGTGGAAAATGTCATGTTTGGGAAAATTTATCGATTACGTTATGCAGTTTCAGTGGACTTCGAACTTATAAGACATTAAATGCGTACGTACGTAATGCGTTTATAAGAACTTTTCTGTTTGGAATTATATGGCAAAATGTAAGCGCTTCACTTGTTACATAATTAACGTCTTTCGTCTGTAGATATATATAATAGTGCAATAAATAGCGAAAGAGTACTTTGTATTTCATAAAAATTTGCAATGCAAAGGAACTCTAATAACTTGAAAAAATGAGACATATTATATGTATATTATTTTGTATACATATTTATGATAGGTCGAGAGACTTTTTTATATAGTAACAAAGTAACACACAACATTTTTTTCTTTCAGGACCCATTTCCTATCGACTGGGTAATCAGAGACGTCTTAAGTATGCGCCACCACCTGACCTAACCTCGAACACTTCCAAACAGTATTCAGCTCCCGTGGTTCAGCCAGCGTTTGTTCCACAAAGTGCTGCAACTCCGACTATATTTAACCCCAACGAAATAGTTTCTCCGACTCAAAATTATGAGTCTGTTCCACCAACTCAAAGAAACCAATCTGTACCACTGACACAAGGTTACCAAACTGCGTCTCAAAATAACCAGTCAATTCCATCGACTCAAAGTCATCCAGCACCTCCGCCACCGCAGACTTATCAATCTGTGCCGCTGACTTCAAATTTTAATCCGATTTCTACTCCAAGTACTCAGTCAATTTCATCGACTCAAAGTCACCAAGGACCTCCACCAACGCAGACCTATCAATCTGTGCCGCTGACTCAAGGTTACCAGCCGACCACTCAGAGTGATCAGTCCACACGAAGTCATCAATCACCTTCACCGGCTCAGAGTTATCAAACAGTTCCGTTGACTCAGAGTCATCAATCAGCTACTCAGAGTTCAGCGGTTCAAAGTAATCAGTCTATACCGTCGACTGAATCTCATCAATCAGCCCCATCGACTCAGAGTCTCCAATCTGTTCCGTTGACTCAGGGTTATCAGTCGATTCCGTCTACAGAAAGTAGTCAATCAGTTTCGTCGACTCAGAGTTCTGTGCCATTGACGCAAAGTTTCAAACCTGCATTGTTAACTCCGAGTGATCAAACAGCTACATCGGTTCAGAGTCAGCAATCAGCTTCGTTCAGCAACCCATCGACTCAAAATTACCAGACAACACCACCTGCTGACAGTAAACCAATTCTGTCAACGGAGGTCCATCAGCTCGAGCCACTGTCTCAAAATTACCAATCTGTACCTTTGACTCAAAGTTACAAGGTTCCATCGACTCAGAGCTATCAGTCATCTGTTCCGAATAAACAGGCAACTTCATCAGACGTCCAACCTGTTCTGTCCACTCAAAATTATCAGTCTGTGCCGTTGAGTGAAAGTTATCAGACAGCTTTGTCAACTTCGAGTGCTCAGCCAGTTTTGTCGACACAAAATTATCAGGCAGCGACATCAACTCAAAGTCAGCCGATTGGACTACCTTCTACAAATTCGCCGTCGGTACAACTTTCAACGCCAGAGATCATATCCGAACCGAATTCTCAACAGGAGTCGTTCAGATCTAGTCCACTCACAACAGGAGCAGTGCATAGTGCAACTGACCCGTCTCGAAAAGTAACACCTCAAAATCTGACCCCAGCTGACAGTGTCTTCTTGTCTAAGAAGTCACGTGTCTCTTTATCGTCCACTGAACCAATTCCCTTCTCATTTCCGGAACCTACAACTCCCCAGAACACGCCAGCCAACGTTTCTTTCCTCGGCTACGACGGTTACACGAGCAGACAGGAACCTTCAGGGTTTAACTCGGAGAAAGAAGCGAATAACAGTTCTACTCGTGCGAATTCGATCTTGAAAGACAAGGTAACTCGATCCACCGCAGAAACGAAGCCTAGCGTAACGTTCGGCCCAGTTTCTGCAGTTCAAGTTTCGGAGAAGTTGGAGCACTTGTTGGCCGAGCAAAAGGAAGATTTATCGAAACTCGACAGAAACGAAGATCAACTCGCCAGTGTTGTGAAACCGGATGACAGCAAGGAAAAAGGTGATTCGTCAAAGTCGGATACATCAAGTGATGTCACCGTGAAACAAGAACCCACATCCGGTCCTCAAGAATCGAGTGCAGTGCACGAAAAGATCGATGCATCGCAAAGTCATGGTATTTCATCACAGTACTTCCAGACACAGTCTTTGGCATCCGACTTCTTCGCTGATCAGAAGCCGAATTTGAACACGTTCGGTGATCCGAGAGCGTTCACACAGCCTGTCAGCTCGTTCTTCAACGCACCAGGCTCAACGAATGTTGATTTGACATCTTCAAGAAACGATTTGCATCAAGTGTCGTTGACTACCTCTGTCGCGTCTGCTTTTGTTAATCAAGTACCTGCGGGACGCAACATTTGGGACAGTAATCAGGTGCCTACGGTGGAAACATGTAGTTCGTCGCAACCGCCCTTGTTCTACAATCCTGCGCAATTCCACAACGAACTGCAGAACTATCTGTCCACGAATCAGTCGTATGGTCCACCGGTTGTGAATCCAGCTCAAGGTTACTTCGACAATCTATCTGGATCAGCGCAGGATATACCAGGTGGAATTAGCAGCGCGTTCCTTCCCGCGTCTGTTGTTATGTCAACGATACCCGAACCAACTGGTTCGGCTACTTTAAGTCCGGTTCAAATGTCAATTAATCCGTTGGCTGGGCGCACCTCTACCGACGGCACATTTTCTAGTTTTCAGAATTCGGTAAGATATGAAGCTTGAGTCTTTGTCAAATTCCTATCTTATGATTTGCATACATCGTCTCCTCGTTTTCGTGCATTTTCGATTTCAGTCATTTCCTACTCACATTTATAATAGAGACACGATAGATATCTGTTTTTAGTTGGCATTGAATGAAATATATTCTTTCACGCGACTGTACGTTTGCTTTAATATTACTGCCACAGTGAAAATGAACGTATTTCATGCTAGCCTTTTCTAGGGGAAGAGATGAGGTAGGGGTGAAGGAATCCATCTCAAGGTCTCATACTTGAAAGGTGTTATGTACTATGGTTGGGTTAGTTTCTGTTAAATCATATGATATGAGTATTCGGTTCAGTATTTACTTCAAAGCAGGTCGGTTCATTTAATGACTGTAAAGTGGGTAATGGGGATCATTCGAAGCTTTCTTATTAAATATTTAGTGAGTATTATTTTTGGATATTTGTTGAGTTATAAGGCTTTTTACTGGTGGGATATGATGTTCCCTCTGGTGATGTGATGTTCTAGTAATTATATGTTCCACTGGTGTGACATTCAACTAATAGGATATTCTGATGATGGGATTTTCTACTGATGGGATATTATAGTGGTGGGATATTCTACTGATGAGGTATTCTATTGTTGGTATATTCTACTGATGGGGTTTTTTACTGATGGAATTCTATATTTATGGGATTTTCTACTGGTGGAACTTCCTACTGATGTGATTTTCTGCATATGTATGGGATTTTCTACTGGTGGAACCTTCTACTGATAAGAGTTTCTACATATGGGACTTTATACTGATGGAACCTTCCATTGATGAGATTTTCTACATATGGGACTTTATACTGCAAGGACCTCCTACAGTTAGGATTTTCTACTGATGGAGCTTTTTACTGATAAGACTTTTTGCTGATCGATTTTCTATTGATTCAGTTTTCTTTTCATGTAACCTTCTACTGGTAGGGTCTTCTACTAATAATTTACTGATGAGATCAATAATATTCAATATTGTACAGTAATATTAGTCATCTGTGGATCATACAGGAAGGTTGATCATACTATACAAAATGTATGTATTGTGCAAAATTAGAAGATTCTTAATTCACACAGTATATTATACAATTTTTAATATGATCTATAAACGGTCAGTATTCTCTATAATATTCAGTGCACTAGAAGATTGATTATGTAGGAACTTTTCAAATGTAAGTAAAAGAAAGAGGCTGACACTATTTTATTTTTGAATAATTGAAACTGTAAACCTAAAAACACTATGTGGACCCTCTTATCTTTACATGTAAATAATTAGGACGAATTAAGATATTCATTTAGTTCTATCTTTACTTCTATAATTATTATTATGATAGATTAGAGCATAATAATGCAGAACTAGTAAAAAATTTGAAGATGTCCAATTTGTCATTGTAAACAGCATGAACATGCAAAATCGAATACGATTATTTTCACTGTGGCTATCAGGATATTAATGATTTTGTAACACACTCTCGTGGTCACGTTAACTATCTAGTGTTACTATGGCAAAAAATTATTATAAGAAATCAACTTTGGATGGTAATAATTATCGTTATCTACTTATTTCTGTACACGTGAAATTATATAACAGCGATCGTTTCATAACGTTATTACACTTTTAAATTGTACATTTTGTGCAATTTAAGCGATAAAACGTGCAGTTGGAAGGCGAATAAATAGGTGAAAAATCTATTTTCTTTTGACGGAAAGATAAGGGTGTTATGACACAGTAAGCAATGAGTCACTTTTCCGTACAAGTAGAATACGTTCTGTGCTTATGAATTTTACATACGAATCATTAAATTCATGATTTCACTCATTTCACTGATAATTATTTACATTTCCTGCTTCATTTGTAAATGGAATATTGGCACATGCAAATTTATAATTTCAAATTTTCTAAAGGCTCAAAGTTTAGTAACCATAAATCTTTTCCTGCATTCGTCACGTTTATACATACAAATCATTTTTATTTTCTTATCAAGAACTTTGCCTATTAATACCTCAATCAGTGTTACATCTTTGTCACAACTTTCACAAATACTTATTGTTCACATTATTTATGTAGTTGAATAATACATTTGGTTCTACAGAAACTCACATTGCTAAAACCAATTACAGTCACAACTTCCTTTCAATAAATTATTTTCTTTACGTTACACATTGTTATTTTTAACACATACTCCAGAAACATTCCATCAAACTTCAGACCATTGTAAAAACACCTGAATAGAATAAATTTCTCATCGTAACCAATAGAAACCATGAATATCCGGGTTTCATGATAAATTTCAGGCTACTGGCCCGTCAGATAAACGTATGCAGTACAGAACGGTGTACCACCACTGGTTTTATCGCAAGGAGGTGGAGCACAAAGTGTTATGGCTTCCTTTCTCCATGCAAGATAGCCTTCGCTTAGAAGAGGTTCATAATTCCACCGAAATCACCCCTGAAACGACGGTCGCCACTGACGGGGGTCGTTACGATGTTGACATTTTACGACGTCAAAGATCTCCTGTTTATTGGAGCGGAACATCTACGGAAGTTAGGCGATGTTCATGGTTCTACAAAGGACCCACAGAATCGAGATACGTCCCTTACGACGAGAGCACCGCCCTGAAGCTCGAGGAGGAGTACAAACAAGCGTGTATGACGAACAATTGGAACCGAAGAATTGACTTGAACAATGGAGAGTACATTATTTTCCACAGTGCCACGGTTCAGGTTCACTATCTCACACCCAGTTCTCCGGAATTGGCTGCATCCTGGGGCAACAGCGCGGTAAAAGTCATATTTTTAAAATTACATTTGCTTGCTGAAGTTTTGTGTCATAGAAAGCTGATTTTTATTTGGGGGATAATGATTCTCTTTTTAGAGAAAAGAATTAAATACTGAATCGCTAATATTTTTGAACAAAATCGGTTGTTGTGAGCGTGGTAGAGTTTTGTGGACAAAATGGCGACGTAGAAGAAAATGTCTCTACTACTATATTTACGTTTGATCAAGTTATTGATTTGAATCATTAATTCCTCTAAATATCATCAATTTGTTGTCTACAATTTTAAGGCACAAAACATGTTCTTCGTTGATTAATATATTCATCTCAACGTTCAGAATAGTCACACTTGAAATTATATTAAAGAAAATAAAGAATAATTAACCTTACGTAGTATATAAAAGTTATATTTTCTAACATTTGAATATGAAATAAGTTTTATCTTCATTTCTTCTCTTTTAATCATAATTTATACATTCTTTACACATTCTGAAAACAAAGAATTTATTTTGTTCTCTCATTACATACAAACTTATTATTTTACTCATTATAATAAAAGCAGGGTTGATTTAACACAACTTTTATATTTTCATGAAAAATTTGGAAAATGAACTTATTTTATATAATAAAAATTTCTTTAACTTTAAACAAACTTAAATTTTTATTTTAATTGTAATTTTAAATTTTCAAAAGAAAGAATTGTTAAAATAAATGATATTCCAAGGGTTAATTATTTTTTTACATTCAACAAATTATCAAATCTGTTAAATATGCTTTATTCAATTATATGCAAAATTGTACCTAATGCAAGCTACTTGTACAAAATTTCAGTGTTAGCTTCATAAATTTATAATTCTAAATATTGTATTTATTTTTTTAACGACTGCTCTCGCTTATACGCATACTTTTTTTTGATAACGCACGCATGGCTCTGTTGGAAATGTTCAATCGCAATCTGTACAGGGCTCAGAGGACAGTACATATTTACAGGGTGCTGGAAGTAGGCCCAGGGTGATTAAAAGAGGTATGGACGAGTTTCATATCGAAGATGGCGAACCTGAAAAAGTGGATCATGTTTTGTTTCTTGTTCATGGTATCGGAAGCGTTTGTGACTTAAAGTTCCGAACCGTTGAGGAAGTTGGTATGTTTCAAAATAGTTAAACATTTTACAAATTTGAGCACTGATTACAATCTCCAAAATATCCTACTAATAATATTCTACATTTATAATGTATCATTTAATTTTTTTTCTATGTCTTAATTATTTAATCTTTTAGAGATTCTTGAAATTGAATTTTTGGATCAGACCATTTGTCATCAGATCATAAATTAAGCTGTAATTTATTATAATAATTATAGCTGAAAGATTAGAATTACAGAATTATAAACTAGATTACAGTGCTCAGATTTATTAATCTATAATTTCAGTTTCACATCTGTATAACAAGAATCTTCTGATTACAGTGGATGAGTTTCGAAGCATATCGCTGCAGTTAGTCCAGTCGCATTATCGAACCGCCAGTGAACAAAGAACCGTGAACAGGATAGAAGTTCTGCCGATTTCTTGGCACACTACGCTCCATTCCGAGGACACTGGAATTGACAAGAAATTACATGCAATTACGTTGGAGAGTATACCAAAATTGCGACACTTCACCAACGACACTTTGCTCGATATACTGTTCTATACTAGTCCCGTGTACTGTCAAACAATCATGCAGACTGTTGGCAGCGAAATAAATAGACTGTATACTCTATTCAAAGATAGAAATCCAGATTTCAATGGAGGAATTTATCTTGGTGGACATTCGTTAGGTAGCTTGATTTTATTCGACCTTTTGTGCCATCAGAAACCATTGCCTAGTGATAAAGCGAACGAAAATGAAGGAGAGGATAATGAGGATCAAGTAAGTACTTTTAGGTTTCTGATTTGAAAGGTAACGTTTGAGAAAGATCCAAATTATTCTTCTTAAAGAATACTTATACAGAAAGGTACAAGAGAAGTGTTTATTGTTTCAAACTGACTTTTATATAAAAATTTCATTCATTTCATTTAGAACAAAGGTTTCAAACAATGTGCATTTTTATTGTATTATTGCATAAAGAGTAATAATCTTATTATGTAATACTGTATTATACTGAATTGAATAACTAATTACATAAAGAATAGTAACTGAAAGTAATGAAAAGAATTATTTGTATAATAAGAATTGCATAATTCTCAAAAATAGAGATAAAAGAATAGTATAGGTTCACTATTCTTCTCTGAGCAACGTTATAATTTATCGTTAAATGATAAATATTGTATTATGTATTAACATAAAGTTATTTTTGTTGCAGAAGAACGAGGAGACTGATCCTTCTCAAGCATCATCCGATCGAGTTCTGAAACGTCGTCTTAGCAAGAAAATAAGTTATGTGATGGGTGCTGCCGGGACGGGACAACCTTATATACATTATCCGCAATTAAATTTTCACCCACGTGCCTTTTTCGCTCTCGGTAGCCCTATCGGTATGTTCGTAACGGTTCGAGGCATCGATATGCTTGGGGATGATTTCATATTGCCAACGTGCCCGGCCTTTTTCAATATATTTCATCCGTTCGATCCGGTCGCGTACAGAGTTGAGGCTCTAATCAATCCGGAAGCTCATAAATATCGGCCGATGTTAATTCCTCATCATAAAGGACGAAAGAGAATGCATCTGGGTAAGTACTTGACGGGTTTGTTGGTGTTCTTCTTGCCCGAAATTATTTTATCATTAAAGTATTATATTTATGTATTAAATCATATAACTATCACAAAATAAGTGAAATGAAGGAAGGAAAGGAAATCCTAAATTTATATTCTGTTTATGCGTTAATTTAAATCGTATTTGTGCTAAAAGATAATTGGAATTAAAAAGAAAATGTTTTTTTTGAAAAAAGAGTTATGAAGTTGTGTTTGAAAAATGAAGGTCATTCATTCTGTAAATGTATATTGATATTCAACTGCAATTGAACAAACATTGAACAGAATTATGAAGAAATAATTTTCACAAGGTGTAAAAACTAGTTATAACTAACTCTATAATAATTGATGTGAATTTTAGAATTAAAGGAAACGATGGCTCGTGTTGGTGCGGATCTTAAGCAAAAGGTGATCGATTCCGTGAGGAACACGTGGAATTCAGTCTATCAATTAGCCCTGTTCCATCGATCCGATAACAGCACGTTAGAACGAGAAATTGACAAGGTTGTTGAAGAACAATTGCAACAAACGCCAACAGTGACGGATCAACAAAATAACGACGATGGTGGTGCTGAATTCAAAATTGGCAAATTGAATGGTGGACGAAGAATAGATTACGTTCTTCAAGAAGCGCCGTTCGAATACATCAACGAGTATATTTTTGCGTTGACAAGTCATGTGTGCTATTGGTTAGTAGAATTTGTCATACTACTTAATATACTAATAAAAATATTGAACACTTATGGCAAACTTCATGGAATTTCTGTACGTTCTGTTTAAAATGTGAAAGATTAGGATAAACCATTTGGTACAGTCACAATGTCAATAAGTAGGTTAGGTTAGGTTAGATGCATGTCTGTAATTATTTTCATAAAACTTTCAGTCACAAATTGATGTACCATAAGTGCTATTTTGCAATATTTTCATGTCATGAAATCGTATTAGACTTTTAAGCATCAAGGAAAATGTTAAAAACTATTACATTAGTACCTGTTGTTTATCATAATTGGCCACCAACCATTTTGTACTAAGGAGATTGGTATAAATTGTCTAATATGCTTATTTTTATCAAACTAAACTTCAAAATATTATAATTTCACCTGTTAAAATCGGCTGTTTAACATAAATAGATTGTTTACACAAACCATTACGACAACGCTATTTAGTATAATGAAATAATTAAACAAAAATGAACAAATTTTCAACTTTGCGAGTATTTGTTTATTCAGGGAATCCGAGGACACTATGCTGATGATTCTAAAGGAAATATACGGATCAGCGGGCATACAAACAGACGCACAACTTCCTCAGCAGACCTTGACGATAGAAAGAGCGTCTCCTGCCATGTCTATGATATCATCCACACCTTCAACCACCAAATGTGAAGTAAGATCGTCAGTACCTGTTATGGGAGTGGATCCAACCGCGCCTATCTCGGAAAAAGCCGTCGGGCCACCACCAAAGACTGGTTTTGTCCGAAAATCATGATCAACAAAGGATCGCCCTAATTTGTAAAAAGCTAAGAAACTTCAAAATAATGGTGATGGTGAAACTCAATAGTTGTTGATCAGGTTGATGCTGGCGTTGTACCTGAGTGATAATTTCGATGGACAATGAAATAAAAGATGTCCTGTTTGTACATTAAAGCTGCGTTAGGATATTCTGTCGAAAATTTTCGCCGCACTCGATCGTTCCTTCGTACGTTGTTAATAGCAAACGCTTAGAGCTATTTTAAAGTTTGAGCAACATGCAAATTTTTAAGCACATCAGTTGACTGGTTCAGTTTATTGACTCGTGCTCTAACGTTAAATATGGATGGTGTCACACCGGAAAAACAGAGGTTAGAGTTTGCGATACGAAAGTAAAGCTACGAAGGTTAATTATATTGTTCATTGTAAATATACAATTTATAAGTGATTTATAAATAAGTCTAAGGCACATAGGATATATAAATTTTTTCAAAGATGCCCTTGCATCGTGAGAATTTAGGTTACGTTCTCATGTATGCAAGAATTTTAATAAAATGTGGTTATTCTTCTAAATGTGAGGTTTTATTATCTCCTTGTACCTTCTTCCTCGTATACTACACATTTGTTCTTTCTTTTAGATTCAATAAAATAAATAATGTAAAATATGATGTAGACTTCAGTTGGTATATTTAGTTAGAATAGAATTTTTCAGATCTGTTTATAATTTCTTTTAGTACACGTCTTTGGTATTGTTTTCAAATATTTTTGAGATTACAATTTCTGTTATGTATGTTAATGCAATGTTTACATTTTGGAACATGTGTACTTCATTTAAATATAGCTGAGTTTAGTATTTTGTCTGATTATAAATTCAGTGCATGTTTAACCTACGAATGATTCACAGTTGTTTTCATTCCTGCTGAAAGAGACGTTTTCAAAGTTAATTGAAAATTCTATAAAAACAAGTAAAAGCGTAACAAGAAATAAATGGCAGTACAAATATTCATTTTAGAAAGTCGACACGCGAATTGTATCTAAAAACATTAATTTTCTATTTTTGTTCACCACAAATCTCTTCACGTAATAATCATCCATATTCGAAAAGTGTGGTTCGAATTATTGTACAGCATATACGCAGAGATTTTTCTGTAAACCAATTATGCGATAATTGATGAACTGGATGTAGCTCAAAATCTTGATCCACATTACCACCACTTTCTTCGTTATAATAGACTCCTATTATTGCTATCATTTATATTGCCGGTTCAGTGAGTTCACTGATGTTCGATAAAGAATTTATTGATGTAAAAGAAATCTTGAAAGTATCTTCTTCTATAAAAAAGATTGAAATCTTAAATATTAAATGAATGAAATATGGTAATATATTAATTTTGAAAATATTTACTGTTTAATAACATTAATGTTTATCACTAATATTATTATAATTAATATATACTGTTCCATAATAATATTTTATTATTATTGTATAATGATACAGTATTAAAGATCCTTTCTACATTGCCAATTTCTAAAATTTTCCACAGCTTCTACTCCGTTCGTTAAAATATAAGAATCCTATGAAAATTTAGATATTGCAATTGATTCAGATTTGTAAGTGCAAGCATTGATGGAATCGACAAGAAAGGAAATTTTCCAGTCGTTAACTGTCTTATCTGTGGTTCCTTTGTGGAACAATTCCGTCGTAACCGTAATCGTCGGTCGGATCTAACATGTCCTTTTTAAAACCGTGCTACCACGTCCCGAGGGATCATCGAATGGCGTTAGCTTATCGTGCGAGCAGTTTTTAGTTAGCTGACATAAAGAAGAAAAAAAAGAGAGTGGTTCGGCACATGCACGGGTATCACGAAACGCTAATTAATTGCGGTGCAAGCCCATAAGGTTGCTGTGGGGCTGTTTTGCATTTTGCGTGCAGTCCCTCGTAAAACTACATGCCTGTCAGCCCGGGCGAATTTCACGATGATTTATCGTCTTGGCAAAACTAAAGTTTTTCGCGATACTTCGTGGCTTCTCACAGGCACAGCCAATGCCTTTGCACATGCAATTGTACTTTCTGCGTTTCCGAGACTTACCGTTTGTGAATTGACTAGTTTCCTATTCGATTTTAATTTCTTTCCGTTGCGACAGAAAATACACTTGTCTTTAAACTTCTCAACTACAAAACGGTCATCAAGTTACGTATTCAAAATGGCGCAGATAGTAATTAATTTGAGGAGTTTTACTTTGAATAATTCAGAAAACTACCTAATTTTTAAAAACTTATTTTCAGTTAATAAAAATATTTTTAATTAAGAGAGAAACTTGTGTAGATACACAAATATATTTTACTTTTTCGCGGACATAAATATAGCGGTTAAAAGTGTGCCGTAATGCAAATGGTTGAACGTTTTGGTAGATCTATGTAACAATTTGAATAATTATAAAAAATTGCGGTTGTCGAATATTCCTTGTGTGTATTTTATCAACTTACCGGACTATTGTTTCCTCTTTTCGTCCCTAGAATCTCGTCAACTAAATTTCCCTCGTGAAATGTTCCTACCTAGCTTAACTATCGGTATTTACGTCGGTTAATGGCCACTTTTCGCTGTAACTTCAACTTGGTAGCTCGAGATATTACGATTTTATGTCGCAAGCCCATTGTGAACGCAATTGTGTTAGTTTTTGCACCTTGCTGCATCTACCCTTCTATATACCTTCCTTTTGTCGTTCAAGTTTATTAAATTCACGTTGTTATGGGTTTATACCTTTTTTTCAGTGTTTTGGTTCAATGGTAGTATTTGTAATCTGTAATGTTTAGTTTCATTCCTTGGTTAGTCATACTGCTGACAAATTGTTAAAATTTCAGGTATTTTACACATTTATAAATATCTTTTAATATCTTTTAATAAATATCTTTTATGCATTTATAAACGTATGTTGTTTTAAATTTATTTTACAATTACTTAAAAAAAATATTACTTAATTAATTAATGTATAGTATTTTACACAGGTAATATATATTTTGTACAATTAATTAATGTTTAATAAATAGGTCTTATACATAAATGAACTTCTTGTACAAAAAAATTGGTTTGTATTATTTTTATTCATAACTACGAAACGAATTTTATATTTATTTATTTTTTAATTACTACGAACGTAACGATGAAAATGTAGCCGTGCTAATAATCGATTTTATTGGAACATGTAAAATTTTACTTTTCTTTTATTAACACTGTACGTTCATGTTCGCACAGCCATTTTGTAACAAATTGCTTTTTTAAATAAAAACAAATATAGAACTACGAAATGAATGCTGTCGTTGCTCTGTTTGTTTTTAGTCCGTAAAATGGCATTTTCATAACATTTTATTTACCTTTTTTCCTGAAAAATGTATTTAAAAGTCAAAGTATGATTTTACAGTTATATCAAATTTACACGCGTTGATTAAATAAAAATTTCAGAACGCGTCATATTTTACTTATAACTAAAAATAAACAATATTTTATCCGTTCATTTTACTTTCGACGACTAATTGAATTTCGTGAGAAACTCACTGAAACTATCGATAGAATGTTCGAATTTAAAAAAAATTGCGTATGGACATGTGCAATCAGAAACGAGAATTTATTCAATGATGTAGGCAAGGTTTAAACTGTCCAAAATTCGTTGAAATGTGATCGTCTGCAGAAAATCGAATTTTAATCCCTTAGACCAACGGATGGTTAATCGTTGCATGAATTTTGGAAATTTGGATTTTTGCCTGTTCCTCATTCGATCCTTCAGATTGGACACACGATTTTTTGGCACACATCCATCTCACGCTATTTTCCGGGATTACAAATCCGTTGTTCGTTTTACTTTATCAAGATTTGGCGATCAAATTCGAGTTTCAAATTAATCTTCAGCTCTTGGCCACTGCACGCATTTATGACCCCGTTAACGTGGTTAACCATTCGTTTCGAATAACGTGCTGACACTGATAACAAGTTCTCGAAATTGTCTGCCATTTCAAATGGTCCAGTTACTGTTACACTACCTTTTGTTTTCTTAAAAAGTAAGACGAGGTTTTGTGCAGTTCCTTAATTTTTTCATGACTGCTCTTTCTTTCATTTAAAATATATCATTTTATTCACTTTTCTACAACTTCATACAATTTTACACTGTTTTATATAATTTCATACAATGTTACATAATTTTATACAAGTTCATACAATTATGTATAAAATGTACAAAATTTAAATTACAGTAACCATATATAAAATTTAAATTACACTTTACAAATAGTACTATGTCATATATTAAATGAAATCAATTTTCACGACAATAATTTTAAGAGTATCGAATTTCCACCATTTTTGTTCGACTAACTGCAACTTCTTTCATTTCCAGCACTGTTATTTTCTAATATTTAACCACGATATCATCGATCCAACTCCGTCAGAGGTTTCGACCATTTATCCCGGCTCGTAAGACCGTTATACCCTTGGGAATGTTAAGAACGAGTCACGCATGTGGTTCGATCTAATCGCCGGCATAATACATCTCTATGCTCAGATTTTTAACCGTACTAATTATTCCGGTAATTAACGTTGTCAGGTCATAAGTGCAGCACGCAGCTCGAAAGGGCTTGGCCTATCGGAGTTTATTACAAAGATAAACGAGCTGCGATCGTAACACACTCATTCGCACTTTGTGTTTCGATACACACTCGCAATTTCATCGATAGCCGCCTGCAGCGTTCGGGTTATTTCCATGGATGATACATGTCCCGAAAACTATATCGACCGTTTGTAAAGTGCGATAAGTTATCGGAAAATGGCGCGATTAACGTGGACGTGACGGGTTTATTCGGGATCCGACAAAAATTACACTCGATCGTATTTAATTGATTCAAGTTTCGGTTTGTACGTGGCTGTTGATCCTCTCGCGTTCAATTTAAAATTCCCATTTCTGATTTATCTACATGACAAGTGAATAATGAAATTATTTTCGATTATCTCACTGATATTTATAAATACCTTTCCTATTTTTTTCTTTAGTTATATTTTCGATTGAATTTTTTTTAATTTTTAATACTTATTGCATAAATTAGGTTAAGTTAAATTATTGCATAGGTTAGGCTAAGTTAAATTATAGCATAGGTTAGGTTAAGTTAAATTATTGCAGAGGTTAGGTTAATTTTATTCTTGCATAGGTTAGGTTAACTTAAATTTTCGCATAGGTTGTAACTCTTTAAATAGTAACACCGTTGTTATTATTACTAGAATCATGATTTTACTATTTAAATTGATTATGAGAAACTATTATTACTATTATCAAGTTTAATCATTTTATTATTTAACAAAATTATAAATAGCTATTTTTATTATCATAAATGAAAATTAGAAATTGTGAGACATAATGATAATTATTTCATTATCCAAAAATTACAAATGGCAATTTTTACTATTACAAACAAGTGAAAATCAGAAAGAAGTCAAAATATAAAACATCCTCGATATTTTTTAATTCTAGTATTGTACGAGTTAAAAAACCAAAGATCGGAAAAATATCGTTTCCATTTAATGTTTCGG